AGATTAAGCTTTAAACCTCACTTAACTAGCTATGCAAGCGGCCACTTTTCTTCCCACTGTGAGGAAGTTTTCAGGATATGTTACATGACTCCTTCAGATGAGGTCATTTTTTCAGAATTATCATGGTTTGGTGGCCGTACGGTTGCACTAGTTAGGTTGAGTTCGGGGTCTCCCTTTAAAGAAAACTATTTTCTAGTCAAGTTAGTGTTTTAATGCACGAGTATATGCATTTACATCATACATTTTTTCAATTTTTACATCCATATAATGCGACAGAAATAATCCAAAGCATCCTATCTAGAAACCCTTGGAGTAGGAGACTGTTGGTCTCTTTCTGTGTAAGTATCAATATAGGTGTCAATCGGGCAGGTTCGGGCTGGGTTCAATCTGGTTCGGGTTCAAACGGGTTGCGGGTTAGTTGGGTTACGGGTTCATCGGGTTCGGGTTCAAACGGGTTGCGGGTTAGTCGGATTGCGGGTTCATCGGGTTCGGATTCAATCGGGTTGCGGGCAAATCGGGTTGCGGGTTCATCGGGTTTTGGGTCGGGCGGGTTGCGGGCGGGTCGGGTTTTGGGTTGTTCGGGCCAGCGCATCAAGTAACTTAACTCATTACCAACTTACACATTTTATTACACTAATTTAAAATATTTTCTCAACTTTTTAACCAATTTATTTCTACCTCGTATATATATACTTTATTTTTTTTGAAAAAAACTAGTCAAAATGTTAAATCAATTTGTATGACTTGCAAACTTGTTGTGTAATTAATCATAATTGGTAAAGTATTATAGCTAATAGTAATGGTGATATCAATATTTGCAACCAAAAGACACCGTTAATTGTTTATTTGATATTTTAGTATTAATTCAGTAGTAGTTTGATTAAAGTATCTCGTTTAGTATAACCATGCAAATATGGTATTTGGCGTGTGGTATTTGGCAAAAGCATAGTGATAAAAGGAATTATTTCAAAATAACTCATTGCCCAAATAACTTTAGTAAACTGTTGCCAAACGAGTTATTTGTAAAATTGTTCGAATTATCCTAAAAATTGAACCATTAAAGATTAGCTATCAAATTTAGTAAAATTATTGTGACTTCAATCATAACCTACTCAATAACATATATCCTATACACTTAGCTTTACCCTCAATCAACAATATTAAGTTAGTATATGTTGTTGATTGTATACCCTAAACCATCAATACATTATACACTAACCACATAACCTATACCCTAACCATATGTCCTTGAGTTGTGATTTTGCTAGTATAGTTAATTTAAAAGTGAAATTCATACTTTGATTTTCAAAACATAGATAAAAAGTGATGTTTGCTAATTGTTATACCCTAACCATATATCCTATACTTTACACCACATACCTTGTACCCTAACCACGTACCATAAACATAAATTGAAAAGGGATCTCCTGCCGTTAAAGACTTAAAATGACTTCAAGTGAACATATGTTAATAAAAAACTTAGAACCGTCAAAACCATCAATATCTTATACCCTAACCATATACACCCTAAACCATATGTACCTTATACCTTATACCCTAACCATATACTTTATATCCTAAACAACGAATCGTCAAAGATGACTTATCAAGTTTAGTATAAATTGTTGTAACTAATGGTTAATTTATTTATTAGCCCATAAAAAATTACATACATATATACATATTAGCCTTCAAAGCATATAAGAATAATTTTAACTAGTCATGCCCTCCATATAAAAGTTAAAGATTCATATTTCAAAAGCTAAAATTATGAAAAACCAAAATATTGAAAACACCAAATTTGTTTCCTTCTTTCTTTTCACAAAAATAATAAAATTTCCCTCCTTCTTTTTCCTTTCATACATTAGAAAAACTCAATTTTCCCTCCTCTTTCTCTTCCATAAAATTGAAAGAACCAAATTACCCTCTTCTTTCCTTCTACAAAAAGTTGAAAAGTCAAAAGTTTCCCTCCTTATTTCTCTTTCATAATCAAAAAAATCAAACTTTCCCACTTCTTTCTCTTCCCACATATCAAAACCACCAAAATTCCCACTTGTTTCTTTTCTAAAATATTCAAAGAACCAAATTTCCCTCTTCTTTCTCTTCCCAAAACTTGAATACACCAAAATTTTCCTCTTCTTTGAAAAACATCAAATTACCAAATACAGTAATTTACTTTATTTATATTTAATTGATAATTTTATTGAATAGTTAAATTAACCAAAATTTTAATTTATATATTATATTAATATTGTCATGATCTCAAGTGACCTTCATGTTTCAATTTTTTTAATTTTCTTAAAATACGTTATATCAAGTGAGTTTCATATTTTTTAAATTTCTTATACGAAATGAAAAAATAATTTTACTTAAGTTTAGAATGAAAAACTTTATTTTGAAAAACTATGTATTGTATATTTTTATAATTATTCAAGTGGATTAGATGAAATTCGGGTTGAGTCGGTCGGGTTACGGGTTAGTCGGGTTCGGGTCAATTGGGTTCGGGTTAATCGGGTTGCGGGTCAATCGGGTTCGGGTTAATCGGGTTGCGGGTTAATAGGGTTGCGGGTTAGTTGGGTTGCGAGTCAATCGGGTTGCGGATCGGGCGGGTTACGGGTTGTTGACTTTTAGTCAATTCGGGTTGCGGTCGGGTTGCGGATCGGGTTGATCGGGCGGGTTAATCGGGTCGGGCTATGTTTTGACACCTATAAGTATCAACCACCTTTGCTTTAATTAAGTATTGTTTTTGGTGGAGGAAGAAAATTTTGTGTTGTAGAATAAAATTAGATAAAACAAAAAAAGAAGTACAAAGATCAAAGTAAGTAACCTAAGTAAAAAAAATATTATCCATACTTAGATAATTGAAAAGGTACAGGAATCTATGCTGGAAAAATTTGGAAAATTTGACTTAAAAATAGACCACTAATTAAGTATTTAGCATAACCTACTAGAATAACTTGCGAATGACTAAATTAAACTCGTTGGTCAAAGCATTAAAATAACCAACTTCGATCATAAGTTTGAATGAACTACTCTAAAAGGAAGCTAAAAGGGTCCTTAAACTTTTGTTCCATTCGTTGTCAGTGACCTCAATTATACGACTTGCTAACTAATGAAACTTGTCAGTTGTGAAAATAACCCAAGCTTCATCGTATCCATAAAAAACAATCAATCACACCAAAAACTTCAGCTTCACACTTGATCAGCAAACAATCACATCCTTTACTTGTGCATCAACAATATACACAATGCCATGCAATGTGAACCCCGTGAAAATTATATTCCCTATGTTTGGCCCGACTTTTAGAAGTGCTTTTTGGTTTCAAAAGCTGAATCAACGCAAACACCTCTTAAAGCTCGGCTTTTGAAAAGCCGGAAAGGGCTTTTGTATAACATAAAAGTAGAAGATCCAATTTGGAGCTTCTGCGAAAAGCTGTTTTGAAAATACAAGATTATCCTTACCATATTTTTATTTATTTCATAAAATATAATTTATATTCATTTATCTCATTTTAAAACTAAAATAAATTATAAAATCATATTATTTAATATAAAATAAATCTAACAAGATCCATTTTGACTACTTTTTATTGTTTAGAACTTTTATTGATAGTTTATATTATAAGCTCTTTATAGTCATTTTACACAACCTCTCATATTAAAAAGCACTTCTAATAGTTTTTCAGCCACAACTGCTTTTTTTGAAAAGTACTTCTCTAAAAGCTCAAACCAGAAGCTGCTTCTGTAAAAGCTACAGTAGGGCCAAACTAGCCCATTAACCATTAGAAGGGTGAACCGGAAGCCTTATTTGTCAAAGGTAAGCATAAGAGACATAATTAGGGTTGATGATTATTGTCCAGCATGTTGTTGATTATGTTGTTCAATGCGATGAAAATAGGACTTTTGTAGGAAATAAATAAAGGAAAATTGACACAAAGCAGACCAGTTAATTACCTGGTGGTTGTTGTCACACTTGTAAAATTTTAGTTCTTGTAATTGAGAATATGATACTTATACCAAGAGCTTACTCCAATGTGTAGTCAATGGTCGGAGGAACATTTTTATGCTGCTACATTAGGTAAAAAAAATACAAAATCATGAGAAGAATAATACCATGAGGATTGATTGTGTTGAATTAGAGGATATAGACTTATTAAGAAGAGTTTGTAGGTCAGTATAGTGCAAGTTCTAGCATCGTTTAGTTGCATTTGATCTCACGCAAGATTGTTGGCCTAGAATCAGGACACACAAAAATTCAATAAGTAATTAGGGCATTTTAAAAAATATATATCATGCCAACTAAAACTAAAACAAACTCAAATACCATTAAATAGTTGCATAACAGCAGAGGTGAACACAACAACAAATCCTGGTTGTGAGTTATTAGACATCACATCTTGAAGTGGCCAATCGAATTATCTCATAAGGCGATTTCAACTGTATCACTAATAAAATCCAAAAATTCATAAAAATGAATGATGAAAATAAGGAATCTGTGTGAATCATATTTAATTGATAAAAAAATTAACCGAACTAACTCAATCAATTTGAGTTGAACACCCTTTTGCTTTAAAACAACAACATCTTTGAATACGGCTTGTTCTTGACCAGTGGCTACAACCTCTCCAACTAAATCTGGCACAGACAATGTTATAGTGACTGGATACGAAACCCGCTACAAATACATATTTGATTAAGCATTGCACATATCATACATATATGCATAATTGTGGACAACTATGGGGAAGATCTTCACGAGCCAAAAAACCAAAATTATAGGATGGTATGTCAGGTGCATTTGGAAGTTCTTTGACTACTGTGTTCTCACGGAAGCAGAATGAGAGAGTGACAGGTGATACACCATAATCATCATTATATGCTAGCACCACAAAATTACTCAACACATAAATCCTTCCCTAATGAACAATGGGATGAAACAATGGAACCTGAGTCATATAAACAAATCCCTGAAACTCTATTCCCTACAAATCACAATGAATTTAAGTTAAAATGTTTTATAGTGTACGGTCGACTATAGATTAGCTAGTGCAAAGATATGTAATCTTTGTACACAATGATACCTAGTATTCCACAAACAACATATGGAGTTGGTCTTTTTTTTTTTTCTTGCATAACAAGGAGGCCGGAGCCAAAGAAGCAGGAAAACCAGTTACAGAGGGAGAAGATCAAGAGCTGGAAGGAGGGAAATTCGCCACAATCCGGCGTTCAAAAGTAACCCCCATCATATCGTCTCTAATAAGCGGTACGACCCCTGGAGGCGGATCAGCCAACTCATGCATCCCGTAGGGATAGACGAGACTGTGCTTCGAGAGCCAGTCCGCGAATCTATTCCCTTCGCGGTATGTATGAGACAGGTTGACCAACCAATCCTGACTGAGCTTCCTACGGACGAGACCCAACAAAGTAGCATAAGGATGAATGGGATCATGACGATCCTGAATGAGCTGAATTGCTAACTGAGAATCCGAAGCGAACTTCACCACTCGGAACCCGAGCTTCCAAGCCAGCTCTAACCCATGATAAACTTCCCACAGTTCCGCCAGCGCTGCCGTTGCTGTGCCGATGTTCACGACGAAACCGCCTAGCCAGTTAACCATCATATCCCTGATCACTCCCCCTGCTCCGGCCGCCCCTGGGTTGCCATTCGAAGCACCGTCAGTATTCACCATTACCCACCCCTGACTTGGAGGACTCCACCCAATGTCCGCCACCACTCGCTCCGCACGTCTGTTCCGGTGACTTGAAAGCAGGTCCGACGCATTCCAAGAGTCCGTCCACAGCTTGCTCTTAGTGGTAATTGAATGTGTGAGCGACGGAGCCGATAGAGCTGAACCCACACCCTTAAAAGACGCAGTGGTACGGTTCTTCCACAATAACCAGCTGGCGATACTGAAAAAACCAGGCCAGCTTATGCCCGACGTCGTAGACTCTTTACTCAACATATTCCTCCTGAACCATTCCTCATGATTCCAACTGAAGAACTCATTCTGTTGCTGCTGAGGGACCTGTCTCGCCCAAAAATACATAGCAGGGGCGCAATCGCGAAGGATGTGAAGGACTGTCTCTGGACAACCTGTACACCTCAAACAAAATGGCGAGTCGGCCACAATGATACCTAGTATTCCACAAACAACATATGGAGTTGGTCAATTGTCACACCATCTGGCCTCATTGTCTTCCATAAATGAAGAAGCCTAATACGAACAACCGAGTTGTTATCATGCAGATTCATTCAGGATAAACTAAGGAGAGCCATGATTGATATCAAACACTGGAGTAGAGCAATTATCTGGCACAAGTGGGAATCCAATTTTTGAATGTGCTACATGTTGTTGCATGTCTGAGGGTGTACTAGTTTTGACGAGATAAAATACAGTCATTGGAGTTGTGCATCAGTATTTCGAGGAGGCATGTTATGCTCATGGATCGTTAGCTGAAGATAATGAGTGGTATGATTGTTTGAAAGAGGCATAATTTTAGGCTTCTGGGTATAAACTTAGAGATTTGTTTGTCACTATCTTCACCCATTGTCAGGTTTCAAACATTGGAGGTCTTTGGGTCACCAACTTGCAATTATTATCTTATGATATCTTGCACAACTGTTTAATGGAGACGAACATGCCTGACTTGGTTATGAGAGTGGGTCAGATAAAAGACTGTTACTTGCTTTAAATAAAAAAAAGACTTCTAGCAAGACACAAATCTCTTTCAAATATTGTTGGTTTGTCATTTGTGGCTTCTCCGAATTTGGCAAGTTCAACTAACATAATGATTGTAGCATAACTTAGTTACAATGTTGAAGATCTTCATCGTCAATTTGAGGATAAAGTGACCAAGTGAAACTCCCAGCAAAGATTAGCATATGATTTCATTACGGACTCTACTTATGGTGACTAATGGAAAACATTCTTCATTGATGGTTCGGGAGGTACCGGAAAGACATTTCTTTGGCAGGTTATTTGCTTGAAGTGGCAGCTAATCGCTCTACTTCACTGTTTGATATCAGTCATGGCTCTCCTCAATTTATCACAGGTGAATCTACATTATGACAACTCAGTTGTTCGCGTTAGGGTTAGGGTTAGGGTTTACAAACTAGGTTTAGAGATTTAGGGTTAGGGTTTACAAACTGGGTTTAGGGATAGAACTCAAAATTGGAGGTCTAGGACTTAGGGTATCCACTAATTAGTTTTTATCATATGTTATATCAGCATATTACACTAATTCTACAAATTAAAATTCAAAATCCGACACCTTAAGACTAGTTTTTGAGTTGGGTGCATTGAACGCACTCATTTTTGTGAGTGCACCGAAGTAGTCACTATATATATATATATATGATATGATATGTGCAATCCCTAATAAAAAATGTATTTGTAGTGGTTTTCGACTGAATGTATTATTTTTAGTTGACATTATATTTTTTTAAGTTTCCCTAATTACTTATTGAATTTTTGTATGTCCTTATTCTAGGAAAACAATATTGTGTGGGATTAAATGCAATTAAAGATACTAGAACTTGCAAGAAAAGAAAAGTGTTCGCATGAAAGATTCGAGGCACACAGAAAAGCAAATGAGTATCGTCAGCAACTAGAGACCCGAGGACCACGTCCTCACCATAATCGATGCGAAAGGTCGTGCGGCGGAGATCAATCACGTCAAGATTTCCCATACCGACGTCGTCATCGATGGGTCCCTCGTGATTCACGGCGTCCTCGAGCCATTCTCGTCACTGGATTCCGTCGAGCACGCCGGGAGGGACGGAACCGATTCCGTCGGTTTTAGGGATTTGGGCTACTGGCCCAAAATCATCCGATCGCTGAGCTCTAAGGGATTCGTCTCACAGTCGGATTGAACTCTGTTCTTGACGGCATTCTTGACCATTACTGGCACTTGGATTCCGTCACCGTTTTCAGTCCACCGGATTTCGGGTCCGTCGCATCTTCTTCTCCGATGCTCATCAGGATAATCCGAATTCACATTCTGCCTCGAAGGATTTAGTACAAGAAGCTCGTCGCATTGCCAGATAAATCGCCGTTGAAGACTCTGCTACCAGGTCAGGATCTCGAGTTAATAAAGACTGGTATATTCACTAAATTGAATGTCACGGCGGCGAGACTGCGAGTCAACGGAGTTGACATTGTGGCGCCGGAGATATTCTCGTCTGGTAAGTACGTGGTTCATGGGTTTTCCGGCGAATTGGTTTCTCCGGCAAGTCCTGTAGTTACGTCTCCTTCGTGTGGAAGTAAAAATATAATTATTGCTCTTTCATGTCCGTTTAGGACCGGAGTGTAACGGACAGAGGCATGGTTAAGGCACTCATTATTTGGTGCATATGAGTCCTTAACTACTCCACTTTAATAAGTTTCTTAATGCAATTATTTTGGTTTGCATTTATGTTTTAATAGTAAATGTCATCTTTAATGTGATTATTATTTTTGTTCTAACATATATTTTAGTTCTAAGTGGGCGGAAGCTTAGCAAGTTAACAGTGGCTCTTAACCACCATTGAACGGCCTGGATTTGGCTGAAAACGGCACTATTTATTATGTAGGTAACAATTAATTGGCCTATTTATTGTTTAGTCACATTCTTATTGCCAAGAATTCATGTCATTAATGGTATTAATCACATGTTCTACAATTTCAAAAGATGAATTCTTCCTTAGTGCATCAACTATGGTTTCTTATTTCTTTAGAAATAGTCAAATAAGGTTATCACCTGACTCATGAATAAGCTTTGGCCTCAAATCGAAAAAGGATAGTCGAGAAAGTATTGAACATTTATTCTTCGGATGCCCCCTAGCCACCAGATTGTGGACTTTAGTGGGATTGAGCAACTTTATTGAGACCACCCTGACTGTTAACTTTAGTTTATGGTGGCGACATGTCATGGTCTCTGAGACCTCCCCATTCCACATTCTCCAATGCGTCTGCTTAAATTGGAGAATCTGGAAGTCTAGAAATAAAGTGATTTTTGAATTCTACCAACCTCATGTCCGTTCCCTAGCCAGACATTTCTACAACCAGGTCCTTGATATCTCAAACGCTCTCCTCCCTCCCGAACCCCACAACTCTCTTCCCAAACCATCCAACCACCACATGGGTCCAACCGCCAGACGATTACTTGAAGATCAATTTCGACGCTGCAGTTTGTGCCACCGGGTGTTCGTCTGGGCTTGTTGTTCTTGGATCATACGGACATGTGGTGTTGGCGTTCAGGTTACATCATCAAGGAATAGTCAACCCTTCCCTGGCAGAGCTCCATTCCATTAGAGATGCTTTTTTCATCATCAACTGAAGATCTTTGACTCACGTGATAGTCGAAGGTGATTCCGAAGTGGTCGTCAAGCAGATCCGGCAAGGCTTCATAGAAGACTCGATTGGTGGTTCGGTGCTACGAGAGTGTCGTTAGATCCTTAGCTCCTTGTCCATTGGTATAGAGTTTAGGACGGTACCTAGAACTGCCAACAGTGCTGCCCATAGAGTGGCGCGTAAAGCACTGCTTTCGTCTCATCTAGAGCTAGAATCTTTCGATTTTTTGGGTTGGCTTCATTATAATATATTGTAAGGGGTCCTGGGTAGATTTGTATGAATAACTCTTGTCCTCTGTTGATATCACTCAGAAATAAAAAAAAAGACTTACACCCTTCGCTTAATAAGTCTATATTCTCTAATTCAGCACAAACAGTCCTCTTGGTATTATTTTTCTCATTTTTTGGTATTTTTTTGGATAATGTAGCAGCATAAAAAATTTCCTCTGCCATTGACTACACATTGGAGGAAGCTCTTGGGATAAGTACCATATGCACAATTCCATAACTGATCTTGTACAAGACTGACAATAACAACAGGTAATTAATGTGTCTGCTCATTAGTTGATTTCAACTCGTGTAGTGATTGCCAAAGTGCTCATCAGTTCCCTTTGAAGCGTTGTTCCAGTCTCTTAGTTTACAGAAGGTCGTGTCGTCTAATAATGACGTTGGATCGCAACACAAGTTGCTCTGTTCTTTTGGAGCTCTTTCCCTGTTTTCAGTTCACCAAATATGCCCGGTTTTGAGAATATATCGAATCATCCCCGTCTTGCCACGATTTTTCAGCTTTAGACTACACTCTGTTATGCAGACGACACAGGAGACTAATGGGATCTGGGAAGAGGAGCTTGAAAGAGATACAAGATGTGGCGAAAGAAGCACTTCTAAGCCATTTCGCGGTGGACTTCATTGACAAGAAGATGAAGAAGGTCAAGAGAGTTGGAGGCGGCAGCGGGTCCACGTTGTCAACTATCGGAGAAGGTGAACCATCGTCCCCGAAGATGACCTGCCAAGGGTAGCACTGCATCTCCGATGTGCTTACATGCTGCTCGCGTGGTATTAAATTTATTAGAAGACGAATTAAATTTAGTTGCGATTTTGAACCGCAACCGCGCGATTTTGGATTAACCCGACCATGATCGCGAGCTGCTAAAAACTTAGAGTGCATGTTAGACCCCAAGTTTTATGGTGCAGTTTGGATGACCGCAAAAGTGGTTTGAAGCAGTTTGACCGCACCAATGCCAACCCCTAGTATGAACTGTGGGTTGGAGTCGACGAAGGGGGTATTACGCCGGTGGTGCTGGTTTTGGATGGTGGGTGGTGAGTAGTTAGGAAACCAAGTGGGTAGAATGTGAAAATATGATTGACCAAAGAAACCAACTCATACGACGTATAGTCAAGTACTAATAAAGCATCATGGTTCACTTACTTAAATATATAAAAGATACTCTTAAATCTTAATACAAGTTCACTCCATCACATTAAATTGGTTATGATCTCGCCAAAACATAATCACACATACGTACTAAGGATTACAACCGCACTTCCGATCTAGCTTCACAGTCTGGCAAGCTCATAACCATCTCACAACAACATAGAGATGTTTATTTCTATATAGTTACGTACGCACAGCTCATTAAACCCGAATCGAAACTCCATCGTCGATCCTTAACGTACGATTACTACCTAGCTTAATTAATTCGTCATTATTTAGGAACTTAATTAGGGTAGGTGCTGGGCAGTGGAGCAGGACAATGAAATATCACTTGCCCGCGACGGCGGCTGCTTTCAAGGCCGCAATCTGCTTATCCTTCTCATCGATCTCCTTGTAGGCAGCATCTAGCTGCGCGTTCTGCTCGGCTATATCCTTCCTCAGCTCCACGACTATAGCGTCGGCGGTGAGACTCTCTCCGTCGCCGGCCTTCAGCTTCTCGATCTCCTCATCCTTCTTCTTCATCTTGTCCTCGTACGACTCCCACGCCACGAACTCGTAGCGGTGAAACCCATTGCCGTCGTTGGTGTAGACACAGGCGACGTGGTTGATCTCGTCGCTGTACTCCTTGTTGAAGAAGGTTCTGAGGTGGCACTGGGACTGCACGTGGAGGAACCCGACGGTGTTGGGCTCGCCGGGCGGGAAGATGGGCTGGAAGAGGGTGGAGGTATCCTTGGTCTTGTCCTCGTCTGCGGTGGCGGCGGTGGCGGAGATCCACCGCAGGCCGTCCAGGCTGACGAGCTGGAGGAACTTGTTGTTGTAGGAGCAGCGGAGGTGGATGAGGCTCGGGTCGGCGGTGGAAGGGACAACCTCGAATTTCACGAACGGGTTGACCGGGTCAATGTCGCGCTTGCATCCCAGATCCTTGTAGTAGGCGCCGAACTCGTCGTTCCAGAGGTAGTGAAGGTACTTCCCGTCGTTCTTGGACTTCAGCACCACATACTTGGGCAATCCGGCCACCGTCGACATAGCTTTTTTTTTTTTTTTTAAACTTTGATTTTATCTCCCGCTCTCTCTATCTCTTTAGAATATCGTTTCCATCTTCCACACGACCTCGCTCTCTTTAAATTATTGTACTTATAGGCAAGCTGACTGGTTGGGCCATTCAATGGCCGTACGTTGGTGGGCCGGCCTCGAGGACAATAATATGATGGTTGGGCTGAACGGGTGGGCCCGACTGCATGCATGCCTAATCTTTTGCAGAAAAATGTGATGACACAGTATGCAGCTAAAAAAGCAGACGAAATGTATAGTTTCTTCGTAATGTTTTTATGGTACGTTAGGTGGATTTGATTCTCTTCCTATTGTTTCTTGACATAAAGTGGCATTGATTGTACTGACTAAAAGACACGTGATGAACTTTGTTTCGAGCTTGCTTGTTTTTTCCTCGTAGGATGAATAATGAAAGTGGGATCAATCAACAAGATAAGGATGATGACCCACTGCATTATTGTGGATATTAAACTGCCACTTAATTACATGGTCTCCAAATCAGGATGTGGTCTAAATTAACTTTTAAAAATAAATTAAGTTAAAATTACTATGTCAGTATTATTTTAAATGATTTATTATCTCTTTAAGTTTTGTATCCTGCATGAAAAATTATTTTCAATTGCTATTATTAAAATTAATACAAATAGAATTTTTGAAACACACACATTACTTTAATAATTAATATACGTGTCTATCGTATATATACATGAGAATATTAACCCATGACTAACATAAATATTAATAATTAAACTCGTCATCATACTGATCATAATCAATTAAGCATACGCTACAAATACAACCTACAATATACTATCGGATTAACTTACGAATATAAGTAAAGACTTCCTAAAATTCGGAAGCCTCGTGCAGGAGGGCCTTCCGGCACACCCTCTTGGCTGGCCCTGCACCAAATATTAGGAGACCTTCACTGTAAATCTGTTATTTATTCATCCAATCATATATTATAGGATAAACTTATGGCCTATGCTGTAATATTGATTATGGGTATAATGATGGTTTTAAATTCATTAACTAATACTAGTACTGCTAGTGATTGTTCAATATATATTCTCATGTATATATACGAGGCAAGTATATTCATTGTTAAAAGTTCCATTTGGGTTCTAAACTGACAATAATTTAATTATGATTAACAACATAAGTAATTAGTCTATCTCGTTCTCAATGTAGATAAACATGATGCCATGTCCTGTTGAGCAAAACATCGAGCTATAGATAGTCTCTCTAATAATATGGAAATGTCAACTGGCATCAAGCTACTTAACACTAGGTTCAAAGTACAAAACACTCATTACTGAATAACGATTGCTAAAGCATTTTAAGCAAAGACTTTAAACATGTTACACCCTGTGATTCTTGATTCTTGCTAACAACGTAACACAAAAACATAACATGAGTATAAATTCAAGTTTTAATTTTCGTTGGCTAAGTAGATTTAATCCCCGAGCTCAACACTCGGAGGGTTTGGAGACTAAGTCTGAAGGCTGATTGCTTTTAATGCAGTTGAGGGAATGTCATGTGAAGCCTGGATCGAGTATGTGTTCCAGTCATTCTCCGCATATAAAAAGGAAATACTAATTATTAGCAAAACTTTTTTCGTATTATTTTATTAGTTAAATTTATTGAATTATTAAAATTAATTTGTTTGTAATACAACAAAATAGTAGTCATGTTTATGTTACCGTCAATATATTGTAAATTTTTTCTCAGTTAAAATACTAAAATTTTAGAATGTTGACCTCCGTGTATTTTTTTCAAGTCAGTATTATGTTGCAAAATCAATATTACTAGTAAAATTGATAAATGGAAGTTAATATTTAACTAATTATTAGTAATTTAATAGATTTGATTAGTAAAAAATAATGTGAAGAAAGTTTAACTAATAATTAGTGTTTACCCATAAAAAATTCAAAGATTAGAACAAGCAAAATTTGTGAGATGCTAATTAAAGAGATTCATTGAGGATACGCCACGTCAAGGAAAGCACGTCAAAGCATGATAAAGAGATTCTAAAATCTTGACAGAAATAATTGATTGCTTCCTCCCGTCTTATTTCCCTTGGGCATAATGGGTTTGTACGACCTCGATCAAGTATTGATAATGTCCACATTGATCATGAGGTTATGTACTATCAGGGATTCATGATCCTAAAGATTGATATGAAGAACACATATGATAGAGTTAAATGACCATTTTCTATTTAGATTGCTTTATAAACTTAGATTTTGTGTTCCATAGGGTCAGGGGCGGACCTAGTGCAAGGGGAGGGGTGTCGTCCCACGCCCCTCCATCCGAAAATTTTGTGAATAACCTCCCTTTTTTGTGTACAAATTTTTAATTTGGGACTTACGAAACCGCTCTAATAATTATAAGCGACACACCTTCATTTTACGACAATAGTTTTAATGTTATAAAGTTATTCATCATAATTAGTAATTAACAATAATAAGTAAAATCAAATAAGCATATTTATTTTAAGTAACCCACAACCCAATTTAACTTGTCGATTTTTAGTTAATAGGTGAATTGTGTATATTTATGGGAGATTGTGATTTAATTTTGGTTAATTTGGTAGAACTAGAGAAAAAATGCTAATGATAGTACTTTAGGCATAGTTTGTTTTTTATAAAATTGCTGATAGGTAGATTGTAGTTTACTATATTTGATTGTAAACTAATTTATTTTCACTTAATTTGATTTTAGACGTATGTCAATTCTATTTGGTTGAGTGACTAATTTATGAATGATTATGTAGTTGTGTATATCGAAAAAGGTTTGATTTGCAACATAAACGATGAATGCATTTTTAATAAAAATATCAGGATATGAAAAATTGTCATCATTCGTAGCAAACATGACATTGTGAACTTATAAATAAATTTTCATTAATTTTTATTAAATTTTTATTTAATTATTTGATTTATTATAATTTTTTTATCGACGACATCACTCTTCAATAATCCTGGGTTCGCCAGGACAATAATCTGAAGTTGGCTTAGCGGTGGGCCAACTGCATGCACACACCTAAACTTTTGCATAAAGATGAGATCATAGTACAGTACAGTACAGTGATAAAAACATACAAAATATTGATAGTTTCTTCATAATATTTTTATTTATAGGGACCTCCTATCCTACGGTACCTTGGTCCTTGGCATTAATTTAAGTTTGGTGATTTAGGTGAATCTGGTCCACTAAAAGCAATGGTGAGAAATTGTGACCGTTGGTTAGAAAAAAGAAATTAAAAAAGAATTAAGGGGAACCGGCCACTTTTGGTAGCATCCCCCTATAAATTTAGGGAATTTTTGGTTACGTTGTTTTGGTTAGGTAAACTTTCTATAACCATTTGACGCTTAACGTAATAAGGTACTATCATATTAAAAGATTGGATTTTGCTACGGTGACATGCATGTCACCGTGACATGGACTTTTCGGTCGACCTAACCCTAAAGGCGGTCGACCGAATTGACTAATTTGGGCAGCACGAGAAAGCATTGCGGTCGACCTAATCCTAAAGGCGGTCGACCTCAATTCATAGCATAATTGATGAGTCCTTGTTATCATTATATATGACTAGTTATGATGGTTTAAAGCATAATTTAGACGAGCAAAAGAACCACACAAATCGACATACATAAGCAAAAAAGACACGAGGTTTAGGTTGACTTTCTTGTATTCGGTCGACCTCGTACCGGACTAGGTCGACCTCGACACCAACACTTGATCTTCATTTTACGTCAAATGATTGGATAAATTGATAGAACACTTATCGTCTATCTGGCCGACCTCTTTCTTTATCTGGTCGACCATGTTGTTAATGACTGCCATCAAGTGGTCGACCTATATACCTTTACGGTCAACCATGTTGTTTCTGACGCCAACGAAATGGCCGACCGAGGTTTATTCTGGTCAACCAAAAATAACAACTTAAACTAAGAACGATCGACTAGGTGGTCTTTGAGGTCGACCGCAATGCTTTCTCGTGCTGCCCAAATTAGTCAATTCGGTCGACCGCCTTCAGAATTAGGTCAACCGAAAAGTCCATGTCACGGTGACATGCATGTCATAATAGGCATACCCTAAAAGATTATGTTACCTAGGCCGACGTAAAGTCATTTTATAATTGTAATGGAAGATACAAATATATTGCGTAAGGGTTATTACATGATAGTTTTTTTCCTATGTAACAATTAAATTAGAAGTGTTAAAATAAGACTTTCATAATGACTTAATATTTAATATGTTATAGTATTAATATTTATTATGTAAAATTACCTTTCATTACGTAAGGTTTATGTAGTGATATTGTACAACTATTACATAACATGCACTTTCATTTCGTGGGTTGACTGCCTAAGCCCACTCTTTCTCCCCCTCAAACTTGGCCCACTAGATCTCTTTAATCCCAAAACCCAATCCCTCCCACTTACTAACCTAACCCACCAGACTCCCACAACACGAGAATTGATGCCATGATAAGAAAATCGGTCTGAAGCATAATCAAATAAGAAAACTTCCCGTTTGCATAAGAGCTAGTGTCTCACCAAAAAAAAAAAAAAAAGAGCTAGTGACAGCAGCGGCTCCCTATTAAGCATTTAGGGCAGCCTAAAACCAGCCATGGACTCTAGGTTAGCCTGAAAACCGAGAAGTTGATTCTTAACCATCCCCACCTCCATCTCCTTCGCTTCCACTAACTTGCTCAAAACCGACTCCATCTTCCTGCTGCCTTCCAATTCCTTCTTGCACGTCGCCAGCTCCACGTTCTTCTCTTCCAAGCTCCGCCGCAGCTGCTCCGCTTCCTCCGCATCACGAACCAGTCCTCGAACGTCCATCATAGTTGCCCCGTTAGACATGTCGAGCTTGTTCCACGGGGACGCGACAATCGTGCTTTGAGGCACCCTGACGCCGTATTCGGACCAACCAAAGTAATCGTTGATCCGCATAGTCCTGATAGATGTATTCTTGAGTTGAGTAATCATGCATAAGCCAGCACGATTCACGTAAATGAACATGTTCTTTGTTTCCATTCCGTGGAGTTCCTTCGCAAGCTCTTTCAGTCTGTCTCCCTCAATGGTGACGCCGAACAATTCCAGTGCCTTGTACTGTTTCGCTGTAGCGCTAATGTGAAATCCATCTCCCCAATGATCGTTGGAGCGGTGGGTTGCTTGGAAAACTTTGAAATCGTTAATATCACCCTTGTACGGATACACAAGAATGCCTTCACCATCCGAGGATGGCGTGATGAACTCGTTGTCCGACTTCAAGCGAAACGCGGACATTGTGAAAATCAACCTGTTGGGGAATTTGATAGATGATGTTGTTACCCTGGGGTGCACACCCTGCTATATTTATAGAGACCAGATCGTGCACTGTGACGCTTCAGTTGCCGATGTATTGTATCTCTCCGCCAATAGAAGGATTACATTAATCACGGTCATATAGCCGTTGTGAGCGTTCAGTTCTTCCATGCATGGCGTGTAGAACCCTTTGTTTTTTAGGTCTTCGCGTTTTGCTTCTAAGTCTAGCTTTAGCTAGGGTGATTCCACATGGAGAATGGTCATGGTGGACGATCCAGCAGACTGCAGAGACCAGAAATCATGCATGCGTATTCAAGGAAGGCAACTAATCTTTTGACAATATTATTACTTCAAGCTGAGCCTGGTTTTGGGAGAAAGGGAAAGTAGCTAGCTAACTGCGTATAGAAAAAAGAACAAGCGGCCACCGAGGCGAGGCATGCGTTTTGCTGCAGCTTTTAGTTTGTACCTAGCTAGGGCTGAGTTTTGCGTCTAAGTCTATCTTTAGGGGTAGCTTGCTCCTTCCTTTTGTTTTGCTTGCAATAAGAAGGCTGTCTTTCAAATGATTGGGCTAATGCAGTGACTTCCAGCACTTAGATGACCCTTTAATTCATGGCCAATGAGTCCAAACACCAAATTCGAGGTTCCATTTGCAGCAGTACTAATAGATTATTGCCACTAAGAGGCATATATGCACGCAAGTCTCTTCGTATTCCCAATTTCGATCAATTTGCCTTTCTTTCTTATTTAATTCATTCATCTTTAATTCTATCAGGCTCATCAGTAATCACTCTCTCTCGGTGTTCATGGTTTTCAAAGAAAGTAATTAAGTAAGTTGTGTGTTTTTATATAGCGAAAGTAATTGGTGATCACATTCACACCCACGGTAACCAAGTAGTTCTTGATATATTTTTCGGATGGAAATGATCTCTAGAGCATGCAGTCGGCATCGTCCAAATACGATAGCAGAACTGTGCAATATCCATATGTTCGTCCGTCGTGGATGTTAGCCATGAAGAATTCGTTGTCGGAGGCCAATCCGAACACTGCAATCTGTACGTATTGCTATGTTTAGGGGTATTGGTACAATGGATCGGGTAGGGGGCGGATAGTGTATATCCGTTATTCTAGCCAAAATAGTTCGAGTTATACCCATACTCATACCCACATAAGAAAGGGGTAGATAATCAAAATCATGCTCATACCCGTGGCAAGAACTAGTTGGTCCCAATAACTCAAGTTGTTGGGAGAGGTTCAATCGTGAATCATATACCGTTTACTAACAACCCGTTTGGGTTTCGGGTATCCACAGTTATCGATGGATAATAATTTCTCTACATAACTCCAATCAATATGTTAACATTCACTCGTATTTTCACATTTCGTAAGAAGAAAAGTACGATAATAATTCACCATAATGAAGAAAATTAATTAAAACAACACAATTTCATAAAAATATTATATTTATATGCTAAATATAAAATATGTTAGAGAAAAATAATAATTATTTCTCGACAAAATACATATGCATGTGTATAATCGGGGTTTGATAGTAAGAAACTCATGCCCACCCATTACTCACAATATTCCGGTTCGGATTTTACCCGTACACACTAAAAGTCTTTCGAGTTCGGGTTTTACCCTACCCAATTAGGTCAGATTTGAACGAATATCCACGCTTACGGTTATTTTTGCCAATCTTATTTGTATCTATCAGAAGATATTGAAAGTCATCATCAACACTTAAACCCGCTATCAGTAAATCCAAGAAAAAGCTAAGCGGAACGACAAAATCTAGAGTAAGAGTGGGTCTAGTCTTAATTTCAATAGCAAGTTATTGCACATTTTGCAGAATGTTTTATGCTTTCTCTTTAGTCTTTTAAGTTTGTTATGTCCCTAAATGCAAGCTCGCACACGTTTTCTTGTAGAATCAAATTTTGTCTATTTAAACCGAATGGCGAATGCGACACAAGTTATAGGGTTCCATAAACCGAATGGCGAATGCGACACACGTTCCATATCAGAACGTGGTTATACAATCCTAGCATCCAATCGCACAAAATAAGGACGCAGCTGGGCATAAAAAGAATGGCAAGAGCTTCCTTTCACTCAAGCCTGAGTATAACGAAGAAGACACAGGAAGCGACAACATTTCGTCCTAAATGATACAACCTCATAAGGCAGAACGTAATTGTATTTGTAGAACTGTAATCTACATCTACACAATATATAATAGTAGGAATGACAAAGCTGTGGCTCGGCTCCAGAGGAACATCTCTACTACTAACAGGTTGTTGAACAACCTCGACGAGAACCAACAGCACTAGATTCGGGCTTATCCCACTTCGACTTCTTTGTTACTTTGTATACAGGTCCTGGATTACAGCTCCTTTCCTGTAATGTTTTCTTAATGTTTCGTTTTTGTTCCAGCATGCAGGTTGATTGTTTGGCTCTCTGCCTCCGCCGGTTGTGCGTGTACTCTGTTCGGTTGTGTTTTTCCTTTGTTTAAATTGATAAAAGGCTATCACCATTATAAAAAAAATAGCAGGAATGACAAAACTGTTGCTCCATTTCAAATTTCCTGCAACGAGAGTGAAAGTAGAAAGAACATTTTGGTCTTCACAATTACTTTTTATTTATTTATAAAAAAGACACATACTAGGATGCGAACCATGACCACTTTAAAGAAAAGCAAGGATCATAACCAATCACACTAAGTACATTTGTTGTATCTTTTTAAATTAAAAACATATAATAGCAGAGAGGAAAAAACTCTTCCCCCATTTCAAATTCACTGCTCGAGGAGCGTTTGTAGGAAAGGTAGAATAGGAAGTGTCAATTTTTTCTCTTTTCTCTGTGGAACGGTCCAACCTACCGTACACATGCGAATTTAAATGGGCCAAGAGTGTCAATCTTTTTCTTTAAGCCCTTTTATTTCTCGGTGTTGGTCAAATATATATGAAAGGGCAAAAATAAAAAGAAAAAATTTAACAATAAACTACTGCATGGATTCTAATGGGCTAACCGCTAACAATAAAATAAAGACAAAATACACTTGTATAGCCAAAACTTTCTCGTTTATGACAATAATAGCCAATTTTGGAGAAATACCACTTATAGCCAGTTTTTCTAGTTGTTGTAGGACAAATATAGCCATTTCTGTTAGATATTTTAACGGTGTTAGTAACACCGTCAACTTCTTTAACAGTTTGCTGACTAGGCTCAAACTAAGCGGACACGTCAGCGCCAAATAAGTAAAAAAAGACACGTCATAATTGAATTTTTATTTAATAAATACACATCATAAAATTAATTAAAAATATTTAAAAATCCCCCAATTTGCTTCTTCTCCCCGATTTGCTTCTTGTAACTTTCTCCTCCGACCCCGCCCTCTGATCCACAAAGAATCAGACCTAAACTAAAATAAGGATGCAGCTCAACAGGGGGAAATTTTCCACTCGTATTCTTCTTCCTCTCCACATATTTGATTCAATTAAAAAGCTCAAGTAAAGCCCAATTCCCCCATAGTCACCAAGCTTCCTCCGACGGCAAAAACGACAAGAAGAAGAATAAGAAGAAGAATAATGAAATCATCGCCACCACAAAGCACAATCCAACACAAATCCTCGTCGGCCAATGGATCCCGCCACCTTGCCAGCCTGACCTGAGCCTTCTCCCCTTCGCCGCCAGATCCCCCAACCTCGCCCTAACCTCGCCCACCGTCTCCGCCGACCTCCTGCTCGGCATCCCGTCCAACTCCTCTCTATCCACCGCCTTCATCAGCGCCAGCTTCGAGTCGAAGTTGCAGTGAGAATTATCATGGGGACGAGGCACATCCCAATTTTAAGTGAAGAACTTGAGTTAGATCTTATAGGAACCGTTAGGTGAGGCGAAGGATTGGCGGCAGCTCAACAAAGGCGACTAGGGATTGGGAATCTGGATTGGCGATCTGGGAAATAGGGATTGGGTTTATGCTTTCGGAATAGGGATTAGGATTTGGTTCGCGCTCAAGTGCTGCCGATTTGAAATCCCTAGTTAAGATGTAGATATGTATATCTTGTGCTTGAATTTGAGATGGCGGTCGTAAGGAAAAGAAGGTTGAGAAAGAGGAAGGAGATTGAGGTGGTGACGGTGAGGTGAGAAGGAGGGTGGAGGCCTCGCAGAACTACGGCGAGCCGCCGTCGAGGTTGGAGAATGACGACGAACAAGTTACCTCTGCTTCTTCGCCCTCTCTGTATGTTTGTCTTTTTTATTGTGGGAAGCAGCGGCCGCCGCCGAGGGAATGGAAGGGGGGTAGGATACTATGCTAACCCCTAAAGGGGTAGTGATTTTTGACACCCCCTTTATGATTGGCCAATTTTATTTCCAATCATTGGCAAGTATTAATTAAACTGGTTTTTTATTTTTTTTAATCTTGTAATTTGGGGTCTCTCACCACATTGGAAAAGAGAAAGAATCTGGGGAAAAACGAAATCACCCCCATTAATTACATAATTAATTTCTCTCACTGGTACATTAATTACACGTACCACTCTACTGGTACACGTACCACTCCACTGGTACACGTACCACTCCACTAGTACACGTACCACTCCACTGGTACACGTACCACTCCACTGGTGCGAGCAATCCACAAGGTAGGTTAGAGTGAGAACAATACCAGTGCAATGATATTTTTCATAACAATGATAAACAATAACGGAGCAACAATGCAGTACCACTTCAATGATACAAATACCACTCCACTGGTACGTGTACCAGTGGAGTGGTACGTGTACCAGTAGAGTGGTACGTGTAATTAATGTACCCGTGAGAGAAATTAATTATGTAATTAATGGGGGTGATTTCGTTTTTCCCCAGATTCTTTCTCTTTTCCAATGTGGTGAGAGACCCCAAATTACAAAATTAAAAAAAATAAAAAACCAGTTTAATTAATACTTGCCAATGATTGGAAATAGAATTGGCCAATCATAAAGGGGGTGTCAAAAATCACTACCCCTTTAGGGGTAGTCAAGCTAACCGATCCCAATGGAAGGGGAAAGAAGAGAGAGAAACCGAAAATAAATGAATTAATATTATTTTTTCAGTGAATTCCAACTATACCGCCACATCAGCCTTTCTGTTAGTCCAATCAGCATGTTAGTTGACGTCGTTAAAGAATTAGACGGAAGTGGCTATAAGTGGTATTTCCCCAAAATTGGCTATTATTGGCAAAAATGCGAAAGTTTTGGCTATATAAGTGTATTTTGCCTATTTTTAACATTAAAACGATCCTAAATATTTTTAGTTTCCTTTCGAATTTCTATGGTTATATTCCCGAATCAATAATGTATAAATGGCGAATTGTATTCATCTCTTTTCTTTCACTATTTTTTATTTTTAAATAGAAAATTATTTGTACCATTCGTTCTCCTCTATCTCAGATCTCCTTTGTGTTGGAAAATAAAATGAACCAGACTTGTTTAAATTAGTGGACTCAAGCCGTCCATTAATTTTGAAGTTGGCTTCCATTTTTAATTAATCAACTACTCCCATTAATTTCCCACGTGTTGCATCCATTTGTACCTGTTTTCCGACAAGGAAAAACTGGTGTTTGAACACAATGAATGCACCTTGACTTCTTGAACAACGATTAATAACACGGTTCACTCCTCTCCGAACAATGTTCGAACGAGGGTGTTTGATGTTTTTGATGGTTTTTTGGAAACAATCTAAGTTACTCTACTCCTATGGAGGTTCAGTGAGAGCTCCGAAAGACTAAAAGCTGATTTGCAGAGAAAAGATAAATTTTGACATTGTGCGTCAAATGTTTGGTTGTGGAACCCTTTTTCCCGTCTTCGCTTCTCCGATTTATAGCCACTAGGAGTAACTGCCTTGGTAACCGCCTTGGTAACTGCTAGCCGTCTTGTTGCTCCAACCGCCATAGGGATCCCTTTTCGTGGCCTTCGTTGCCAATTGGTAACCGTTGTCTTGGTCTTCACCTCCATTGCCTTTGAGCTCCTTGACCCGTCTTGTTGACTGGTCGGTATCCATCGCCTTGGAGGCCCTTGTCCCGTCTTGGGGTTGGTGGGTACTTAACGGCCTCGATGCCGGGTGTTGTTGTTGATCCTTGTCGCCTTGCTTGGATGCCAAGTCTATCTTGCCGACCCCGTTGGCTTCATACTTAGCCAAATTCATGCTTTTCATGTCTTGGTACCAAGCCCTGCTTTGCCGGATTGGTACCCTCTTGCTATGGCCATGTCTGGTTATTATGCTTAACACCCTAGTGCAAGGACCCTCTGGGTTGATGTCATGCTTGACCCCCCTTGCGCGGTGTAATGCTTGACTGCCTTGACGAGACCCCCTTGGACGAAGTCATGCATGACCCCCCTTGGACGGTTGGATCTCCATACTTAGCCAATTTTCACCTCAGCATCATGCTTGACACCCTAGTGCTTAACCCCCTTGGACGGTGTCATGCCTGACCCCCCTGGGGTGATGTCATGTCTGGCCCCCCTTGTGCTATGGGACTTAGCCAAATTTTGGCTCTCTTTGCTACCACAGCTAGCTCGCGTCTCGTCATACTCCACTCGCCTTGGATGGTATCATGCTTGACCCCCCTGGGATGATGTCATGCATGACCCCCCTTGTGCTTGACCCCCCTTGCACGGTGTCATGCTTGACCCCCTTGTGCTATGGGTCTCAACACTTTGCCAATTTTCGCCTTCTTTCCCATCACGGTGATGGTATCATGCTTGACCCCCCTGGGATGATGTCATGCATGACCCCCCTTGTGCTTGACCCCCCTTGCACGGTGTCATGCTTGACCCCCCTTGTGCTATGGGTCTCAACACTTTGCCAATTTTCGCCTTCTTTCCCATCACGGTCTAGCGCGATGACCCCTTTGCATGACATCATGCTTGAACCCCTGGGATGATGTCATGCTTGACCCCCCTTGTACGAGACCCCTTTGGACGATGTCATGCATGACCCCCCTTGTACGAGACCCCCTTGGACGATGTCATGCATGACCCCCCTTGTATGAGACCCCCTTGGACGATGTCATGCATGACCCCCCTTGTGCTGTGGGTCTCAACACTTAGCCAAATTTTGGCTTTCTTCGCCCCATCATGTCTAGGGGTAATTACCCGCAAGGTAGGTAGGCGACTGGTAGATCGAAAATTTGGCTAAGTATGATGGGGTGCCCACTTGGGTGGTTGATATTGAAGGGTGTCAACGCTTGACATGGTATGAAGCCCAAAATACCATTATTTAGGCCCAACCTAAACCAATTTAATTAACATGGTTAAGTTGGCCTTATAAATCACTACCACTCTTTGAAAATAATCAATGTGGTATTGAGTGATTTTTTAGTGGTAAACAGTACCAAATGAAACAAAGTAGCGTTTTCATTGTTATTGCAGTGCAACTTTCCATGGATTATGGACAACGATGAATGAGATAAGCATGGATAATGATGGTTCCATTATCTACTAATCTCTCCATGAGTTGCAACGTTCTATTTTGATCAAGGAGTTGCAAAGTTTTAACTGCCTCTTTATGTTATTATATATCATATTATTTGGACGAAACTAATCCATTGAAACAACTAATCCAAACAATATGAAAAGTAATGGTTTTTCTTAAGATATATAGACAGTTAGACACTTGGATAACCTGTGGGATCTGGGAAAAGAACAAACGCACGTACGATATGATGCTTGCAAGTTGCCAACTGCAGCATTAGCAAAACAACATATAGCTTTCGGATTTAGTTTACACAAAAAAACAAAGTAAACAGTTAAAACAAGAAAGAATGGGAGCAAACCTTTTCTTTATCGACAAGAAGTAGGCAGCCCATTCCCATTAAACGTGAACTGGGAATAATTCATCACCCAACCGAACCCTTCTACTTTATTTCTGGTGTTGTGTTGCTAGCCTAGCCTAGCCTTGCTTTTTCCGCTACTTTTCCTTCTCAACTGCCTCTTTGTTTTATTATCTATCATGCTATGCCCGACCCGTTGGCCGGAAGAATTTTATCGAGAAATATGATATATAATAATGAATATAATAAATGATTTGAAATGCATATAGAGGTGGCAAATGGATTGATTCATGGATTGGTGGATTTGATTTGTGGATCCATGGATCAAATGGATTAGATCAAATGGATTGGTGGATTCATGGATTGGATCAAGTGGATTGGTGGATTATCCATGAATTCAAATGACATCCTCAACCAATGACCAATATGTAAAATGTGAAAGTTTAGGTACTAAAATGTCATAATGAAAAATTTTAGGTACCAAAACGTAAATTTTTAATGATATTTTTCGTATAAAAATTAAATTTTGGGTACCAAAATGTAAAATATAAAAAGTATAGGTACCAAATCGTAATTTGTCATTTGGATCCATGGATCAATCCATGAATCCACTAATCCAATTGGATTTGGATCAAATGGATTGGATTTAAATAGATTGGATTAAGTGGATATTTTTAAAGGGCTGGTGGATTGGATTGAGAATTGCCACCCCTAAATGCATGAAATGATTATTTTCTACTTTAGTTATGCACATAATATATTTTAAAGTGATTCAACTATGTAATATAAGCATTATATAATTTTTTAATGAAAAAATATAACTAATTATCATTCATTACTTAATTAAACCATATAGTTGAATATTAGAGTTGCTTCTCGTAATACATACATAATTAACATTTAGGATGAAAGAAAATGTCTCATAGAGTTTAATATGCCATTTAAGTGTTTCTCAATAAAGAGCATTCTTTTTTACTACACTGTTGGCAACACTACAAGAAACTTCACTTTCTGCGACAGAGTTAGCCGTCGTAGAAGAGCCTAAAATTCGTCGCGAAAACCTTCTGCGACGAATTTTAGCATCGCAAAAGGAAAAACCCTTCGTCGCCTATACAACGTCGCAGAAAGTTCTGCGACGAAAAAAAACTGATTCGTTGCTGGAAAAAAATTTCGTCGCTGAAGGACAACGATTCAATGACGACCATTTCGTCGCAAAAGCATC